GATGTAAGGGAGAAAGGGGAAGAAAGGGAGAGGGAGGGGGGGGAAGGGATTAGGGGAGGCATGGGGAGGGAAGGTAAGAAAGGGAAAGGGAGAGGAGTGGAAGGGGGAGAAGAGAGGGAGGAAGGGGAGTGAAGGAGAGAGAAAGCAGAGGGGGTTGGGAGGGGAGAGGGAGGTGGGAGGGGATAGGAGAGGGAGGGGGAAGGGTTATTGTGTCCAGGGGCGGCTGTGAGGAAAACGAGACGATGGTAAGTGTGAAGGGAGGGGAAGGGAGGGGAAGAGAAGGGGAGAGGGTGGAGGGATAAGGAGGATGAGGGGAGGAGGAAAGGGGTGGGAATGAAGGAGGGAGAGTGGGAGGAGAGAGAGAGAGAGAGAGAGAGAGAGAGAGAGAGAGAGAGAGAGAGAGAGAGAGAGAGAGAGAGAGAGAAGAGAGAGAGAGAGAGAGAGGAGAGAAAGAGAAAGAGAAAGAGAAAGAGAAGGAAAAGAGAGAAAGAAGAAAGAGAAATAAACAAATAAAACGAAAGAGAGAAAAAACAAACAAACAAACCAAAAACAATAGAGACAAACAGACACACAACCCCGCAAACAACCCAAGAGCGAGAAAACGGGACTGGACGACCGGCAAGACATCCAGACGAAGGAGCGAGAGAGAGACAGAAGACAAACGAAAGCCGAGGGAGCGCACCACGAGGAAGGACACTTTAACCTGCCAAGTGGGTCAAACGTAGATATATATATATAAACTTTTTTATATATATTCCTCTCGTGTCAAGCCTGCCAGACAGATAAAAGCAGTGGGTAATGCTGTGACAGTGAGCGGCTGGGGCTGCACACAACGTATTTTTTTGCGCTTAAATCATTGCCGCGTGCTAGGGGTGACTCAGCGGAGGGGCGGGAGGGTGTGTGGGTGGGGGGCGGGGGCGGGGGGCGGGAGTGGGGTGGCGGGGCGGGGGTGGGGGGCGGAGGGTGTGTGGGGGGGGGAGGCCGGGTGGAGGAGGGAGATGGTCGCGTAGGGTGTGGCGAGAGGACGGGTGGAGGGCCTTGGGTGGGGGGGAGGAGGGAGGGTGCTGAGGGAGAAGGACGTTGGGTGAGAAAGAGAGGAGGGAGAGAGAGAGAGAGAGAGAGAGAGAGAGAGAGAGAGAGAGAGAGAGAGAGGAGAGAGAGAGAGAGAGAGAGAGAGAGAGAGAGAGAGAGAGAGGAGAGGAGGAGGGGAGGAGAGAGAGAGCGAGAGAGAGAAGAGAGAGAGAGAGAGAGAGAGAGAGAGAGAGAGAGAGAGAGAGAGAGAGAGAGAGAGAGAGAGAGAGAGAGAGAGAGAGAGAGAGAGAGAGAGAGAGAGAAAGAAAGAGAAAGAGAAAGAGAGAGAGAGGGATAAAGGGGTCATACTGTGACAGTTGACGAGAGTTGAGTCATGTGATACAGTATTTGTGCGTTCGTCTGACGCTGCAGGAAGATCATCCCGAGTGACAGCATCGTTGTGACAGCATGCGTGCTAGTTTCGATCTACGGCTCTTCCTTCGTCCTCTTCCTCCACCTCCTACAGGAGTCCCGACGACGGAGTCCCGACGGAGTGTCCCTTCCTCCACCTCCTACAGGAGTCCCGACGGAGTGTCCCATTCCCTATGTCCACAGAACTCCCGACGGAGTGTCCCCTTCCTCCACCTCCTACAGAAGTCCCGACGGAGTGTCCCCTTCCTCCACCTCCTACAGGAGTCCCGACGGTGTCCCCTTCCCCCATGTCCACAGGAGAAGTCCCGACGGAGTGTCCTACAGGAAGTCCCGACGGTGTCCCCTTCCCCCATGTAGTCCCGACGGAACCTCCTACAGGAGTCCCGACGGAGTGTCCCCTTTCCCTATGTCCAAAGAAGTCCCGACGGAGTGTCCCCCTTCCCCATGTCCAAAGGAGTCCCGACGGAGTGTCCCTTTTCCTCCACCTCCTACAAGAAGTCCCGACGGAGTGTCCCCCCTTCCCCCATGTCCCAGAAAGTCCGACGGAGTGTCCCCCTTCCTCCACCTCCTACAGAGGTCCCGACGGAGTGTCCCCTTCCTCCATGTCCACAGGAGAAGTCCCGACGGAGTGTCCCCCCTTCCCCCATGTCCACAGAAGTCCCGACGGAGTGTCCCCTTCCTCCACCTCCTACAGAGGTCCCGACGGAGTGTCCCTTTCCTCCATGTCCACAGGAGAAGTCCCGACGGAGTGTCCCCTTCCCCCACCTCCTACAGAGGTCCCGACGGAGTGTCCCCTTCCTCCATGTCCACAGGAGAAGTCCCGACGGAGTGTCCCCCTTCCCCATGTCCCAGAAGTCCCGACGTCCAGAGGTCCCGACGGAGTGTTCCTTTCCTCCATGTCCACAGGAGAAGTCCCGACGGAATGTCCCCTTCCTCCACCTCCTACAGAGGTCCCGACGGAGTGTCCCTTCCCCCACCTCCTACAGAAGTCCCGAAGGAGTGTCCCCTTCCTCCATGTCCACAGGAGAAGTCCCGACGGAGTGTTCCCCCACGTCCACCTTTCGCACGATCATCTCACCCCGTCCGCCAAGATAATGGGGCGCGTCTCTCGCCCTCGACTCCTGGCCCACCTGTCGCCCTCCATCTCCCGGCCACCCAGGGATCGTCTTCCGAGGCGTGCAGAGTCCGTAGGCTTCCCCCGCCTGCCCCGTCACGTACGTCGCCGGGGCATCCTCGGTTACAGAGGGACCTCGCACTCACGCACAGCGACGTATATAGCGCACTCACATGGCTAGGGACACAGCCGCTTCCTCAGGGGCGTGTGTCCTTGAAGACAACTTTATTATTATCTATAATTGCATCGCCTATAGATATATATTTTTTATATCAGAGGTGATAAAAAAAGATAAAAGAGGTGATAAAAGATACGATGAATCTTTAAATAGATATCAAAGTCAGAACTGGAAGAGCAAAAGGCCTCGGACACGTGACAAGGTAAACAACAAAGGTGACAAACCACGCACGTGTTAAAGATCTAAAGAGCGACCCCCTCTCAGTGAGTGCGATTCGGGGGAGTCAAAGGGGACGGCGACATGTAACAGGGTTCAGAGAGAGAGAGAGAGAGAAGAGAGAGAGAGAGAGAGAGAGAGAGAGAGAGAGAGAGAGAGAGAGAGAGAGAGAGAGAGAGAGAGAGAGAGAGAGAGAGAATGGAGAGAGAGATAGAAGAGAAAGAGAGATAGAAAGAGAAAGAGAGATAGAAAGAGAAAGAGAGAAAGAGAATGAAAGAAAGAGAGAGAAAGACACACAGAGAGAATGAGAGAAAAAGACAAAAAGAAAGAGAGAGAGAAAGCGAAAAAGACAGAGAACGAGAGAGACACAAACAAAGAGAGAGAAAGAGAGAAAGACATAGAGAATGAGAGAGAGAGCAAAATGTGAGAAGGGGGAGGCAGGGATACCCCCCATCCCCCCCCACCCACCCACCAGTAACGGGGCACAGGAGTCGCCAGCACAGTGGATCAGGAATGTACCCAGATGTTAAGGCGAAAAAAAAGAGCCTCATTGCAAAGCGCCAATTGCAAATCATCGCCACGCCATTAGCGATTCCAGTCACGTGGTTGCATTCGCGGGATGCTCCTTTTGCAGAAATCGGCGAGCATTTTCGCAGCGACGAGCGAAGAGCAATGCATGCGAGAGCCGGTTTTATGACGAGCAAACTTTGGGAATGAGCGACAGAGGGTGACTGTCATGCAGGAAATAAAAGGAAATGAGGGTGACAGAGAGTAACAAGCGGTGAATGATACACAGTGAATATCAGTCAGTGACTAATAGCTGATGGAAAGGGAAGTGAGAGAGAGAGAAGAGAGAGAGAGGAAGAGAGAGAGAGAGAGAGAAGAGAGAGAGAGAGAGAGAGAGAGAGAGAGAGAGAGAGAGAGAGAGAGAGAGAGAGAGAGAGAGAGAGTATACATACATACATATAATATACGCACACGAATAAATGTATGTATATATGGATATGGATCTGCATACATGTATATACGTACGTACGTATAAACACAAATATAAACATAGATATATTAATGCATATATTCACACACACACATGTATGTATGTATATACTAATATATATATATATATATATATATATATATATATATATATATATATATATATATGTATGTGTATGTATATGTATTAGATATTTTTTCTCTCTTTTTATATACACAAAAATATAGTGTGTGCGTGTGTGGTTGTAGAGAAAGAGAGACGAACAGAGGAAGGGAGAAAAAGAGAGAAAAGGAAAGTAAGGCAGAAAGAGGATGACGGAAGGGAGGGGGGGAGGAGAGAGCGACAGACTAATAGATAAATAAGACAGAGAGACATATAACTAAACATACAGGCCTAAGTTATAAACAGAAAACAAAAACAAAACAAAACAAAAAGACAGCATAATAAACAGACGAATCTGGACGTTACCATAGACAAGCCAAGACAGACAGATCATAAAGCATCAGGCAAAGTTTACAAGGCCAGGGGCAGTGACATATACAAGACAAATGCTGTATCCCAGATTATGATTCTTCCCGTCCTTATGTTCTGTGTCCTTGTCCTGTCTGTCTGTTTGTTTAAAAAGTTTGTTTGTGTGTTTTGGTTTGTCTCTATTGTCTGTACTGTATTAAAGAAGTGCCTGTTTGTGATCTATTATAATGTAATTTGTCGGCTGCGTGACTTGACTAATCACAGCCTAGTCTGTATTGTTCGATAGGGACTAACGTACAGACAATGACGCGAGAGCATGACACTTGAGTTAAATTGTCTGTGCATTGAGTCTATTCGAGCACTGTGTGGTCTAGTACTGCATGCACTTGTTCGCCTATACGATGATGTACGTATTGCTGTTTTATGCTGAGTCCATTTTTGTTTTGTTTTTGTTGTATTGCTATTTATCCTGTATGTATAAGACCTAGAGAGCCGAAACACACCACAAATCAGAAACTTTATCGTACAATATACAGATCTATAGACAAGTGACAAGACACAGTACAAACTCTGAGTATGCCATGTAAAAGAATCATTAGTACAACATACAAACCTCATATTGAAAATAGCTAATACAGACACTGATCGGCTCTCTCCCCCACCAGACTCCACCACCACAGCACGAGTCAGTCGCCTACATATCATGAGACACAACCAATCAGCTCCAATTGTTACTTACAACAGGACTCTTCGGCGAGTGCCACGGACTAAGACAAGACAGGACAATATCACAGACACAGTCGACATTAATACACACACACAAGACACACAGACAAACCCTTAAATACAACATACAGACAAGACAGACAACGACACAGTCATATCATCAATCACTACAATTTACCGCACAAACAGTACTTACTATCAGACATTGATCTCGCTTAGGACTAATTTTACTATTTTGATTTATTGCCAAGACAGATTCACTTACGTAGCATTCCAAGACCGCGTCCCTCTAGCGAGCGAAGCTCTCTTGTGCTCCGCCGCAGTTTTCTTGTTAGACTCTTGTGTGTCAAGTGTATTGTCGACATGTCTTCTAGTGCTCGTGAGCTGCAGTATGTTGATTTGATGGCATGTAATATATGGTAGAGCGCGAGTTGGAGGGGGTCGTGAGGTAGATATATGATCTGTTTAGAAGCGATGTATCTTAACATCTTATTTTCTCTCTGTTCTTGTTTTGTATTCTTTTATGGTGTTCTGCCATGGAGCGCCTTTGATCACTACTTTTTTTACTACATTTCACTGATTCGTCCGCCTCTTCTTTTCGTAATCACTCTACTCTTAACTTCTCTCATTTAGTGCTTCTAAGGGCATGCTCGCTTTTTTGTTTTGTTCTTTTAGACTATACTTACCTATACTCCATTCTACTATTCTTCTTTATTTATTATTTTATTTTATTTTAGTCTAAGGGGGTTGGGATATGTGGTAAGGGGTAGTGGGGGGGTGGAAGTAAGAGACGCGTGTGGGGGGAGGGGGGGTCAGAGCTATCATTGTTCTTGGCTTTTTGTCGCGATAATTACTTTACTGTTATCTAATTAACTAGTTTTCCTCAATGTTATTCTGTTGGTGGTTTTCTACCGCTCACGTCTCTAGCTATTTATACCATGTTATGCAGATTCCATTATCCCATCAATATAAACATACAATTTATTCCGTTGTGCCCTAAAACTATTTAATGTATGTGTTCATGTATATCTCATCTTCAGCTCTCCTCTTACTCTCTCTTACCAACCTACTCTCTCTCTATCTCTCTACTTCTCTCTCTCTTCTCCTCTTCTCTCCTCTCTCTCTCTCTCTCATACTCTCCTCTCCTCATCTCTCGATCCTCCACACACCCTCTCTACTCTCTCTCTCCCATCACTTACCTCCTTCCTCTTCATCCATCTCTTCCTCTGCTATCCTTCTTCTTCCATCACGCTTCTATAGATTCCACCTTGCACTGATATTTCTGTCGTATCACAATTCACTCCGCTTGTTTTCTCTTGTCACCCTCATTTCCTTTTAATTTCCTGCACTGTCCAGTCTCTCACCTCCTCCTCGTTCCGTCCTCTACTGCTATACGATCACGTTGGTTCAGTCATAAGACCTGGCTTCGCTTCGGCTGGTTCGATGTTTGAGTTTCGTGTTCTGCGGCGTTCTCGTTTCGAGCACGTATTCTAGCTTGTTTTTCGTTCATGGTAGCATTCTAGCATCTCGGCGATATGTCATTTAGCCCGCGTTGTTATGGTTTCTGTCTACACAAAAAAGAGAATAATCACTAATATAATTAATTAATTAGATATGATAATAAGTAATAACTCAATATATATTACACGGGCTTATACCTAATCTATTTCCTCTCTCTCTCTAGTGTGTTGAGGTTTTGGAGTGTGAATGTGTGTATGCGTGTGTGTTTCGGCGCGCTGCGGGCGTCTGTGTCTGTCCGGACAAACGCATTGAAAACGTTCACTCGCGTCTGTGTCCGTACGTCTTACCGTGTAATATATATATACAGTTGATTTTCTTTTTCCTCTTCAGTACGCTTGGGCCGTCTTTTCAATTGTTTGTCCTAATTTTATCCTTCTAAAAAAATAATCCGTTTTACAAATTGACTACTCCCCTCGGTTTTGACTGTGGGCTACTCACTTCGCCTTTTAATGTGTTTCCGCAACTCGCCCTGTTATATCAAATTCCTACTTTGACTTGTGCTAATCGATTAAGTCTCACTTCTGGTTTGTACTGTCTTGGGTAACTCCTTGCGTCCTTTACATCCATCGGTCCTCTGTCTTTTATCGCTTTCCCACTTCTTCTCCACTTTAGCCTTTTGTATTGTTACAGTTCTTCATTCTTTTCTCCTTAAGTTGACTTACTCGCTCTCGGTATTTCTTGAGTAACTCGGCGTTCTGGGTCCTAATAACAACTCGTCCTCGACTGGGACTGTTCGGTTTTTTTTATTGGCTACACTCCTTCCTGTTTATCCTACTGCTTAATCTTCTGACTCGCACTGTCTCTGTTTTCTTTCGGTTAATTAAAAGGCGGTTATAGAAACTCGCTCTCTTCTTAACCTACTTTTCTTCGTTTAATTCCAAACTCACTTCCATCCTTAATCAACTGCGCCTATGGCTGACTTTGATCTGTTCGGGTCGCTTAATTGGCATGATTTTACTCCTGTTAATCTTACCTTTCGCTAATCTTGACGGGCGACTTGCTCGTTAATCTGACCGACTGCTCGTTTCCGTTAATTAATGGGGGTTAAGAACTCGCTCCTGTTAACTGCTCTCTTCGGTTAATAAGCTCGCTTCCTGCTACAACTCGCCTGGCTGACTGATTGGCCTCGGGCGGTTATATTGCAACTTACCCTGTTAACGTACTTCTCCTCGGTTAAATAAAGTCATCTTCTGCTAACACTTCGCTACTAACGGGGTGCTGATTCTCTACCTTCGTCTTTCCGCACGGTTCACCTATCACCATCACCCTTTCTTGTCTAACATACTCGCTCACGTACGCCTCAGTACTGTAGCCCATTTTCTTCTTCATGTTACTCTTTCTTGCACTCGCTCCTGTTCTTACGTTTACGTCTCCTGCATGTGGTTGTAAACTTGGGATTAGTGTGCCTCTCATTATTGGCATGTAGAAGATGCTACTCTTTCTGGCGTGTGGGTTGGCTTCTTTTGTTAGTAATCTTTATCGAACGTGTGCCCGTGGTTGGTTTGTGTATTTCGTACCCTGTTATTGGTGTTTGTTTATTTTTTTTCCTTTCTATGCTAACCAGTGTTTATTTCATTATGCTTTTAGTTTGTTTATATCAGTTATTAGATTATTAGAGTTAGTCATGATAGTCTTGTTTCGTTTGCTCTGGATTACATTATCTTATCACTTACATTTGTATTCTTTTTATTTGTGTTTTTGTTGTGTTTGTTTTTTTGTTGATCGCGTATGATAAATATTTTAATCTTAAGTCGTCGATATCTTATAGAATTAGCTATGATCATGCTTGTGATTATTGCCATTGGAGGTCAATACCCCGCCCCCTGCGGAGTCAGGTCTGTTTGTCTTACACCTATGGTGATGTTGGTCCAGCTACATTACGGTAGCTGCTAGCGACTAAGAGTGCGAGGTCCATATCGCACATGTATACTCGCGAGAGAATGCCCGGCGAATACGTCATGACGGGCAGCGGGGGAACCTTAATGAGACTCGCCGCAACGAGCCTGCGGAAAGACGTATTCCCTGGTGGCCAGGGAAGATGGCGGGAGCGACAGGGTGGGCCGGAGTCGAGGGCAGGAAAGAGGCGCACCCACATTATGCTGGCGGGACAGGTGAAGGAATCGATAGATACGAGTGCGAAGAAAGGTAGAGACGTGGGGAGGAACACTCGCCGGTCAGGGGACTATGATCGATCGCATGTTGGAAGTGGGGAAGGGAACACTGCCTATCGGAGCCTTCTGTATAGGAGGTGAGGGGAAGAGGAGACACTGAGAGCACGGTCGGACCAGCATGTAGGGAGGAGAAGGGTGGAGAGAAGAGGAGGGACATCGCCGTCGGAGCGTGTCTACGTGGAAGGCATGGAGAAGAGGCAACACTAGCCGTCGGGACCTCTGTAGGGAGGTGGAGGAAGGGGACGAGAGCGGGAGCCGTCGGGGACCTATCTGTGGACACATGGGGAGAGAGGGGAGACAGGCAGTCCGATCGGAGACGTAGATCTCCTGGGACATGGAGGAAGGGGACACTCGCGTGCGAGGACCTCGGTAGGAGGTGGGGAGGGGAAACTAACCGTCGGGAACTTCTCCTGTGGACATGGAGGAAGGGAACACATTCCGTCGGAGACACTCTGGTAGGCGAGGTGAGGAGAAGGGGACACAACGCCAGAGCGAAGAACGCTATCTGGTGGAGAGGAGGGGGAAGGGGAAGCAGCACGATACCGGGGAGCAGAGGAGACGAGAGAGAGTGTGTGGTGCGCTGCCGTGTGGAGGCATGGAAGGAAGGTGCGACACTCCCGGTCGGGACCTCTGTAGGAGGTGAGGGAAGAAGGGACACCAAGCCGTCGGGACTTCTGTGGGACATGGGGGAAGGGGGAACACTCCTCCGTCGGGACATTCTGTAGGAGGTGGAGGAAGGGACACTCCGCGTGGGACTCCGGTTTTGGGAGACGAGTGGGGAGAGGGGCGAACAGTGGGGCCGTCGGGACTTCTTTGGACATAGGGAAGGGACACTGGCCGTCGGGACTCCGGCTGTAGGAGGTGGAGGAAGGGGACACTCCGTCGGGAAACTTGCGTCTGTGGACATGGGGGAAGGGGACAGCCGGTGCGTGGACTCACATGTAAGGAGGTTGGAGGAAGGGGTGACATGGCCGTGCACGCCGATCGAGGGACTTATCTCCTGTGGAACATGGGGGGAAGGGGCACATATACCGTCTGAGACTCCTGTAAGGAGGTGGGAGGAAGGGGAAACAAGCTACGCGTTCCGGACTGTCGCTGTAGAGGTGGAGGAAGGGGAACGGAGCTGCCGTGGGAGTGAGGTGCATTGTGGACATAGGGAAATGGTTATAAGGCTGAGAAGAGTGTTGGAAGCAGAACTGCGTTCGGGGGGATCTACCTGTAGAGGTGGAAGGAAGGGCGACTGAGGGCACCAAAACCTGAAAGAATGGGACGTGGGTGGGGAAGAGATAGGCGATGCGGTCGGAAAGGGGGGGACGACTCCTGTAGGAAGGTGGGAGGGAAGGGGGTAAGGGGCAGAGCCGTCGGGGGGATAAGAGAGAGGGCCTGTAAGGGAAAGGGGGGAGAGGGGAAGGATGTGGAGGGGAGGAAGGGGACACGGGTCGGGGCACTGCGAGCTTGTGGAGGAGGTGAGAGAGAGGAGAAGGAAGAGCCGGATAGATCGAAAGCGTAGCACGCAGAAAATGCGGCTGTCGCAGACGGGAAGGAGGGGACAGGGTGTGTCAAAACACGACTAGCCGGGTAGGGGAGGGAGGGATGAGGATCAGTGTCCTGCGGGCAGTCGAGGTCAGGCGACCGGGGAACAGGGGAAGGAGCACGGGAACGACAAAAGGGAGAAAGATAGAGAGAGAAGCTATGGGAAGTAGGAGTGTACGTTGAGAGGAGAGAAAGGGAAGGAGGGAGATTGAAAGGGAGGGGATAGAGCGGAGGGAAACAGGAGGAGAAGAGAGAGGAAAGGATGGCAAGACGTGCAGGAAAGTGAAGGAAGGTCAACTGAGAGGTGACCGCGAAAGTAAGGGGTAAGGAGGGAGGGAACGGAAGGCGAGGGGGCAGGGTAGGAGAAGTGAGGGACGAAGGGAGGACAGTATAGGTTACAATTTTAGATAGATGGCGGTTAGATAAATTAACATATTAATAGATCTAGATAACACATGACCTGATAGAGAGAGAAAAAAATAATTAAGGTGACAATTATCAGATAATGATAGTTGATAATGATAATGATAATGATAATAATCGATAACAGATGAAATGGATAAAGATGATACATGATAAAGAAATGATAATGTATATAAGTGAACTATGATAAGATATATAATAAGGATGAATAACGATACATGATATGATGATAACAAATGATTGGTGATGGAAGTGATAAATGATGATAATCTTACTGAACAAATAATGATGGTAATGATAATGATGTTATAATCTGACTGAATGCTGCATTATAAATGTTACAACTTGACGAATGCCGACGATGATAACGAACTTATAACCCCCTTCTTACGGCTGATGGACCTCTACACGCGCGAACTGAGGCACCTCGGCGTCAATGAGGGAGGTGGTTGAGGCGGGCCGTCTACTGAGGTTCGCCCGGAGGAATGACGACGAGGACTACGAGACGAGGCGAGAAAGGGAGATGACTTGGAAGGACCCCGAGTTCCCCGGAGGTGTTGTTCCTTGGCGTGCGGTGCGAGCTGTGGGTGGCGGAAGGTGGGTTGTGGTGGTTGTGGGTGCGGTTGTGGGTTGCCTGGTCGTTGGGTGCTGCGCGTTGTGGTGGCCCTAGTGCGGGTTTAGGCTTTTCCGGTCATTCTTGGCGGTTCCGGGCCTCTGCCTCTCTTCAGGGTTTCAGGTGGGGCTGGTTAAGTGGTCTATGGTATGGTTTGGGCAGTGGTGGGTTGTGCTCTGCTTTGTGGGTCTTTTGGGTTTTTGGCGGTGGGGTGGTTGTGGTGGGCGTTTGGGCAGTGTGGGCCTGTGGGTCGGTTATGGGCGGTAGGTGGGTGTAGGTTTGTGGCGGTGGATGGGCGTGGGTTTGGGCAGTGGGGGTGGGTTTGGACGTTGGTGGACTGTGGCTGTGGGTTGGGCGTGGGTTTGGGCGACGCGTGTGGATCGTGGACTATGGGCGTGGGTGCGTCTGGATTGTGGACGCGGGTTCTGGGCGTGCGTAATGTCTCCGTAGGCTCTGGCACGGTTCCTGACAGCGGGCGGGCGCGGGTCCGGCTACTGTGTCGCGGCTATGAAGCAAACGGCGGTATCTGACGGAGGCGACGCCGCTGGCCGAGGCTCTGGTGCCGTATCGATGCTGGCCGCTTTGTGGCGTCCGGGCAAGAACATGCCAATGCACTAAGGGAACAGATTTATCACTGCCGGTCTCGAGTACACTGCCATAAATAGCGCGCTTTGTATCGCACGCACTTCTCCTCCTCACCCTTTCCTCTTTTATTATTCTCTCCTCTCCTAACCACCCCCATCCCCCCCTAAGTTTTTCTTCTTTTTGGGGGTAAATTATGATAAGTGGTATTTGAATGGTTGACGCGGTCTTGTTGGCAGTGTGGAGAGAGTCGTGTTGGCAGCTGTGGGGTAGGAGTCGTTGTTGGGCAGCTTTTGTGGGTTGGAGTCCGTGTTGGCTTTAAGCTTGTGGGTGGAGTCGTTGTTGGCAGCTTGTGGGTCATGTTGATCGTGTTGGCCTAGTCTGGAGTAGGAGTCGTGTTGGCAAGCTGTGGGTAGGATATCCGTGTTGGCATCTTTGTGGTTGAGTCGTGTTTGGCAGCTGTGGGGTAGGGAGTCGTGTTGCGCAGCTGTGGGTAGCGAATCGTGTTGCATCTGTTTGGGTAGGAGTCGCTGTTGGCATCATGTGGGTAGGAGTCGTTGTTGGCATCTTGCTCGGTCGTAGGAGTCGTGTTGGCTAGCTGTTGAGTGGAGTCCGCTGTTGAGCTGTCGGGGTTCCAGGAAGTCGTGTTGGCAGGCTGTGGATAGGAGCTGCTTGTTGGGCACGCTAGTGAGAGGAGTCGTGTTAGGCAGCTGCTGAGTAGGAGTCGGGGTGTTGCGCAGCTGGTGAGCTAGGAAGTCGTGTTGCGCATCTGCTGAGGGTAGGAGTCGTGCTTCGGCAGCTGTGCAGTAGGAGTCGTGTTGGACATCTGTGGGTGGAGTCGTGTTGGCACTGTGGGTAGGAGTCGTGTTGGCATCTGTGGTAGGGCGTCTGTGTGTGGCATCTTGTGGTAGGAGTCGCTTAGGTTAGTGGCATCTCTGTGGATTTAGGAGGTCTGATTGGCATCTGCTGGTAGTAGGATTGTCATGGTGGCAGGTCTGTGAGCTAGGAGTCGTGTTTGGTCATCTGTGAGTATGGAAGTCGCTCGTATGGGCTATTTTCTTGTTGATGGTTAGGATGCTGGCGGTGTTTGGCTAGTATTGTGAGTATTGGTTAGTCGTAGGGTTTGTGCCATATCTTATAGTGGGTAGTAGAGTCGTGTTGGCAGATGTGGATTTAGTAGGTAGTCGTGTGTGGTTGGGACGGATCTTGAGTGTGCATGTAGCCTGAGTCGCGGTGTCCGTTCTTCGGGCTATTGTCTGTCCTGGTTTTGTACGTGTCTGTCTCGTTTGGGTCATTCTGTTGCCATGTAGTGTGCCATGTCTGCTGTTTCGCGCCATCGGATGTTGTCGTAGGCGACGTGTTTCGTGCCAGACGCTTGCTGTTTATGCGCTAGGAGTCTTGGCTTCGCTTGGGCTATGCTGGTTTGTGCGTGTTGGTAGTCCGCCGCTTGTGTTGTGCATCTGCTGAGTAGGATCATTTTTGGCATTCTGTTGGATATTGGATTGTGTCTGTGTTTGTTGGTGCAGCTTGTGTGGGTGATGGAGTCGTGTTTTTCTTGCGCATCTTGTGGGTATGCGAGTCGTGTTGGCATCTGGTGGGATAGGAAGTGCTGTTTATGGGCAGCTGTGGGTGGAGTCGTGTTGGCGATCTGTGGTAGGAGTCTGTTGTTGCATCCTTGTCGGGTAGCGATGTCCGTTCGTCTTTTCGCGGTTCATTCCTTTCTTGTGCGGTCTCGCCTAGGAGTGCTTGTCTGGCAGCTGTGGTAGGATCGTGGTGGCATCTGTGGGTAGATGAGTCGTGTTTGTGCAGCTCGTGAGTAGTGCAGTCCTTGGTTGGTCATCTGTCGGTTTGGAGTCGTGTTTGGCATCTGTCGCGCCGTAGTCTTCTCTTTATGTCGGTTGGCATCTGTGGGTAGGAGTCTTGTGGGCCAGCTGTGGTGTAGAGTCGTGTTGGCATCTGTGGGTAGGAGTCTTGTTTGGCAAGCTTGTGGGTAGGAGTCGTGTTGGCAGCTGTGGGTAGGAGTCGTGTTTGGCCATCTGCTGGGTAGGAGTCCGGGTGTTGGCAATCTGTGGGGCTCTCTCTCTACGTCTTCTCTCGTCAGTTCCTTTGCTCTCTCGTGCCATGCCTGTCTGCGGTAGGAGTCGTGCTTGGCATCTGATTGGGTTACGGAGTCGTGTTCTGGCTAGCTCTGCTGATCGTAAGTCTGCTCCTCTGCCTCCTCGTTCTCGCAATCTTCTGTTGGGTCAGCCGGAGTCTCGGTGTTGGCAGCCTGCTGGCTGCGTAGGAGTCGTCGCTTCGGCATCTCGTGGGTAGGAAGTCCGTGTGGCAGCTGTGAGTAGGAGTCTTGTTGGCAGTCTGTGGAGTAGGAGTCGTGTTGGCAGCTGTGGATTGGAGTCCGTGGGTTGGCAGCTGTGAGTAGGAGTCGTGTTGGCATCTGTGGGTAGGAGTCGTGTTGGCAGCTGTGAGTAGGAGTCGTGTTGGCAGCTGTGAGTAGGAAAGTCCCGTGTTTGGCAGCTGTGGGTAAGGAAGTCCCGTGGTTTGGCAGCCTGTGAGTAGGAGTCCGTGGTTGGGCATCTGTGGGGTAGGAGTCGTGTTGGCATCTCTGTGGGTTAGAAGTCCTTGTTGGCAGCTGTGAGTAGAGTCGTGTTGGCAGCTGTGGATGGGAGTCGTGGTTTGGCAGCTGTGAGTAGGATCGTGTTTGGCAGCTTGGTGAAGTAGGATCGTGTTGGAGCTGTGGGTAGGAGTCGTGTTGGCAGCTGTTGAGTAAGGAGTCGTGTTGGCTCGTGTGAGTAGGGAGCTCGTGGTTGGAGCCTGTTTGGGTAGGAGTCTTGTTTGCAAATCTGTGGAATAGGAGTCGTTTGGCAGCTGTGGTATGGGAGTCCGTGTTGGCATCTGTGAAGTAGGAGTCCCGTGTTGGCAGCTGTGGGGTAGGAGTCGTGTTGGGCAGCTGTGGATGGAGTCGTGTTGGCAATCTGTGAAGTAGAGGTCGTAGTTGGCAGCTGTGGGTAGGAGGTCGTGTTGGCAGCTTGTGGGAATGGGGAAGTCGGTGTTGGCAGCTGTGAAGTAGGAGGAGTCGTGGTTGGCAGCTGTGGGGTAGGAGTCGTGTTGGCAGCTGTGGATTGGAGTCGTGTTGGCATCTGTGAGTAGGAGTCGTGTTCGGCAGTTGTGGGTTAGGAGTCCTTGTTTTGCAATTGTGGATAGGAGTCGTGTTGGCAGCTTGTGGATGGGAGTCGAGGTTGGCATCTGTGGAGTAGGAGTCGTGTTGGGCAGCTGTGGGTAGGAGTCGTGGTTGTGGCAGCTGTGGATGGGAGTCCGTGTTTGGCAGCTGTGAAGTAGGAGTCGTGTTGGCAGCTGTGGGTAGGAGTCGTGTTGGCAGCTGTGGATAGGAGTCGTGTTGGCATCTGTGGATAGGAGTCGTGTTGGCAGCTGTGGATAGGAGTCGTGTTGGCAGCTGTGGGATAGGAGTCCGTGTTGGCAGCTGTGAGTTAGGAGTCCGTTGTTGGCATCTGTGGGTAGGGAGTCGTGTTGGCATCCTTGTGGTAGGAGTCGTGGGTTGGCAGCTGTGAGTAGGAGTCGTGTTTGGCAGCTGTGGAGTAGGAGTCTTGTTTGGCAAGCTGTGAGTAAGGTCGTGGGTTGGCATCTGTGTGGTTGGAGTCGTGGTTGGCAGCTGTGGATAGGAGTCGCTGTTTGGCATCTGTGGGTAGGAGTCGTGTTGGCATCTGTGGGTAGGAGTCGTGTTGGCAGCTGTGGGTTGGAGTCGTGTTGGCATCTGTGAGTAGGAGTCGTGTTGGCAGCTGTGGTTTGGAGTCGTGTTGGGCAGCTGTGGGTAGGAGTCGTGGTGGGCATCTTGTGGGTTGGAGTCGTGTTGGCAGCTGTGGATAGGAGTCGTGTTGGCAGCTGTGGGTAGGAGTCGTGTTGGCAGCTGTGGGTAGGAGTCGTGTTGGCAGCTGTGAGTAGGAGTCGTGTTGGCATCTGTGGGTAGGAGTCCCGTGTTTGAGCTGTGGTAGGAAGTCGTGTTGGCCACTGTGGGGTAGGAGTCGTGTTGGCATCTGTGGGTAGGAGTCGTGTTGGCAGCTGTGAGTAGGAGTCGTTGTTGGCGCTCGTGGGTTGGAGTCGTGTTTGGGCAGTGAGCTGCAGCTGTGGGTTGGAGTCGTGTTGGCAGCTGTGAATAGGAGTCGTGTTGGCAAGCTGTGGGTAGGAGTCGTGTTAGGCAGCTTGTGGGTAGGAGTCGTGTTGGCAGCTGTGAGTAGGAGTCGTGTTGGCATCTGTGGGTAGGAGTCGTGTTGGCAAGCTGTGGGTAGGAAGTCGTGTTGGCATCTGTGGGTAGGAGTCTTGTTTGGCATCTGGTGGGTAGGAAGTCGTGGTTGGCATCTGTGGATAGGAAGTCGTGTTGGCAAATCTGGTGGGTAGGAGTCGTGTTGGCAGCTGTGAGTAAGGATCGTGTTGGCAGTTGTGGGATAGGAAGTCGTGTTGGCAGCTGTGGATAGGAGTCGTGGTATGCAATCTGTGGGTAGGAGTCCGTATTGGCAGCTGTTAGGTTGGAGTCGTGTTGGCAGCTGTGGATTGGAGTCGTGTTGGCAGCTGTGGATAGGAGTCGTGTTGGCAATCTGTGGATAGGAGTTCGTGTTGGCAGCTGTGGAATAGGAGCGTGTCTGGCAGCTGTGGGATAGGAGGTTCGTGTTGGCAGCCTGTGGAATAGGAGTCGTGTTTGGCAGCTGTGGGATAGAGTCGTGGTTTTGGCAGCTGGTGGATGGGAGTCCGTGTTGGCATCTTGTGGGTAGGAGTCGTGTTTGGCAGCTGTGGGATAGGAAAGTCGTCTTGGCAGCTGTGGATAGGAGTCCGTGTTGGCAGCTGTTGGATAGGAGTCGTGTTTTGGCAGCTGTGGCATGGGAGTCGTGTTGGCAGCTGTGGATTAGGAGTCGTGTTGGCCCAGCTTGGAGGGAGTCCGTGTTGGCAGCTGTGGATAGGAAAGTCGTGTTTGCAGCTGTGGATAGGAGTCGTGTTGGCCAGCTGTTGGATAGGAGTCGTGTTGGCAGCTGTGGTAAGGAGTCTTGTTGGCAGCAAAACAGACTTGCGAGTCCTTGGAATAATCGCAAGACCTTGTTGCCAGTAAAATCCAGCAGCATACTCTTGGTGACACTGAAGGAACTCTCCGCCTACAGCTGGCAGACTCACCGCTGGCCCTTGTTGGAAGTGAAATACGGACGTGGCCGCGTTGGCACTCGAAAGGACTGCAGCTCCTTGTTGGCAGCGCAAGACGGCGGCGGACGGGTTGGCAAAAGGACCGCAAGCCATCCGTATCTGTGGCGGCGGCGGCGGCGGTGTGGTCCGTCTGTGCGGCGCGGTGTCAATGCACACACTAATGTTGGCAGCGCGGCGATGGAGGGAAGTCAAACTGATAGTAACAGCGAGAGTATGGCGTTGGAAGTGTTGGAAGCGATGATGGCAGGCTCGGTCGGTCGGCTAAGAGGCCATTTGAAGCCGTCCAGAGGAAGTTTCTCTCCGTTCTCTA